TCCACCTCCTCCGCCTCCTCCCCCTCCCCTCCTCCCCCTCCTCCTCCACTTCCCTCTTGGGGATATTCCCGCAGTTCGCAAATATTCCCACCCTCTACTAATTTGGACTCGTAATGCTGCAGTGTTGTTTCACTGACGTTTGTTGCAAAACATCTCCCTCCCTCCCTCGTGCAAAGGAGTCCTTGCATTTACAGAGCCTGCAGGCTCATTGAAACGCCTCAACCACCCCATAACCGCTGTGTAGACCGCTTTTGCTAGTAACCCATTTCCCGACCTATTCCGAACCGCCAACCAACCAACCAACCAACCAACCAACCGCTCATGCCAGGCCCGGCTGCCCTCCCTACCCCACAGGTAGTTAGTGCGAGGACAGGTCGCAATACCGGGGGTGAGGAGGAGGAGGAGGAGGAGGACCCTAAGGAGCAGGGGCGGCAGAAGGGGCGGCAGAAAGGGCTAGGGCGGCTGCGGCGGCGCAAGCGTAAGCACGGAGATGCTGGTGATGATGATGACGCAGTGCAGGCGCGGGACGATGCAAACGATGACGTGGATCCGGGCAGAAGGCGTTTTAAGGCTTGCCTAATCAGGACACGGACCGCTTTGGAGGCGTCTCGGGCCGCGGATGAGGTCAAGAAGCTGACTGGGGCCCTTTTTTCGCAGGTCGGTACGGTTGTACGACGAATTTTTTGTTCGGTCAGTAACGGTTGTATGGCGTAAAGTGAATGTACAGCTATTCCTCATTGGGCGATTGGGCTGTGCTTGCAAAAACTAATGCCAATGGCAATGGCAATTCTTCGGATCGCGCACTAGCATCCTCCAAAACTTGTTTAGCAAGATCTAAAAACCGCAAAAACCGCATCTAAAACCAAAACCCAAAGCACTTGAGGCATCCATTCATCTCCCTTAGCAATCATCCACATTACTTCTACAACAGCAATAATAATGTTGTTGTTCATGACATTTACCACTTGAGTGAAACCATCGAGCGAATCATCTACGTCGGTACGACAGTACGGGGGAGTAATAATCTCCATAGAATTGTCCATACTTCGATGGAGAGGAAGGCCCTTAGTAGTGCTGCCGCCGTACATTAGCCGTCGTACTTGCGCAGAGTGCCGTAGCACAACGCGCGATCCTCATACCCCCATCTTGCCGTACAACCAACTTTGACAACCTGTGACCTTTTGCAATAAGCCAATTAAATTGTTAGGTACTTTTCTCCCCTCTTTGTAAAGACCAACAAAATTTTTATCATGCCATCAGCTGACCGAGCAGCAATGTTTATTTATGACGTTGCTCCTCTCGAACACCCTCGTCGTGGTCGACACCGCCGCCGCCGCCGCCGCCGGCACCGTACCACCGCTCCCGTCAACAAGTTGCTCGGGCAGCCGCCGCCGTTATTCGTACCTGCTGGATTCTTCTGTCCTGAAGTCCTCCTGGTGGCAGGATCGCTCATGGCGGAGGCGATGGCACCGGATGACGCCGCCGCTGCCGCCGCCGTCAGTGCTGCGGCGGCGGCCGCAGCGGTTGCGGCCGCAGGAGAGGAAGTTGTTGCGGGGGAAAGTGCGGAGGCAACTGCTGCAGCAGAGAGGAACTCAGGCGGCGGCGGCGGCGGCGCTGTCCACACCACGGACAGGAGACCCTCGGCGCGGCTATGCCGCCGCCGTACGGCGGCGTCCTGATGATCTGTGACGGCGACGGCGACAGCGGCGGCGACGGCGACGGCGACGCGTGACGGCGGCCCCGGCAGCCGCCTTCGAAACCTGCGTCAACCGCCGTCTTGGGTGCCAGCCGCCGCCGGAGCTGGCGGTATGGAAGTTTTAGGGGGGTCGCTTTGGCTGGAGCCGTAATGGTAACAAGTAACAGTAACGTAACCGTAACGTAACGGTATCAGTAACGGGATGCGACTCACCGGTCGGCGTTGACAGTTTACGGTGGGTGTTGGGTTGTTGGGTTGTTGGGTGTTGGGAAGGTGCCATGTGTCGATGTGCCGCGAAAGGGAAATCGGGGGGAGCGCGGGGGGATGACTTGCGACACACGGGGACAGCTAGGTGTTCAAGAAGGGTATGTGTGTGTGTGCACGCGTTATGTTAAAAGAGGAGGGTTCCCAAAACAGGTACGGAAACGGTTGTACGGCATGGTGGATTCCATGGACCCGGTGAGGGATGGCATTGGAAGGACAGTACGGAGACAGTACGGAGACAGTACGGAAAGGGCAGGAAGGAAGGAGAGAAGGGCCATTCGTTCCGATTTGCGTTACAGCACGCTGTAGACGAAGTTCGGCTTTTAGGCGGTCGGCGCACTCGCTCTATCCGTCTGCATGGTGATGAAACCCCCACCATGCTGGTGGTGGCGGTAGTGGTGGCTGACTGAATGCGGCGCGTGCCACATCGTGTGGACACGTGGGAGCACTTGAAAGGGTTTGCGCGAGGGCAACACAGGCGCCACCGCCACCGCCACTCGCGCACACACACACACACACACGCATACACACGCATACATGCACAGACATACACACGCACGACCCCTCACATTTACGAACCCAAGCTTCACATCGGGACTGATTGTCCACATCCCCTGTCGGCCACACACATGAAGATGCCGCTCTAGCTCAGTTGCATATTACCACCCGAATCCTCCCCTTCCGCACATGCAGTGTACACTTCTTTTCCGGTAATGTATCTCAACCTAGTGCACTACCATCAGATATGTGCGCTGTTTGGGAGGTAGAAAGGGGGGGGCCTGGCGGATAGTTGTGGTCTCCACATTCACGCTTGTGTGCTTTATCCCACATCCCGCGCCAAGCTTTCATTTGTACGCTTCCAGTCCAAGACCTTCACACGCACATGCAGCTTTGTGACGGATCTGCTATAACGCATCTTCATCTCCTGCTGGCATGGATTATGGGTTGATCATTATTAGAGTGCTTCCTGGCCCCCCCCCCACCTAGACCGTATGACCCCTACAGCACCGTACTGGTGCCGCTAGCATGGCAGCAACATCGATCGATCGCTTTCAGGCATCAGCCGGTGGACTTCAACCCTTGCACAGAGAGAACAAGTTGCTACCGGGGCCTGGAACTGGACTGTTGCAGTGGCGGTGGCGTTGATGGTGGTGGCGGTGGCGTTGATGGTGATAGTGATGGCGATAGTGGCATTTGCAACGAGTCGCCTGCTGGAAGGACAGGGATGCCAGATGCCGAGGCTGGCAGTGGTGTTGGTAATCCGTCGTACGACCCGTAACCACGGCGTCGCTGCAGGATTGGCCGCCTTTGCAAGGGGTGGAGCTGTCGGCCTCTCGAAGATCCTAATTAGGCAAGCTTATCCTAAAACGACTGGTCATCATCAACATGGTTTTTTTGTTGTACTGCGTACCTGTCGGCATTGTTGCACTAATCGCACACATGCACACAAAAGGGTGGGATCATTTAGAGTACTCACAGCAGCACATTCATCAAAGGGCTACTGCGGCCCAAGAGCCCGAGGGCCGAGAGCTTTGCGGCAGCAGCAGCAGCAGCAGTAGTGGCAGTGGCTGCTGCCGCAGCACCTAATGCAAATGCAGTTCTGTTGGCGCGAATGCGCCACAACCACATGACGGCATCCGCAGGGAGAGAAACAGGCAGCTGCAGTTCCTGGCTGGAATCGCCCCGCGGGGATGATGACGGCACGCTGTATGTTGGTATCCGTGACGGTGCTCCTGCCGCGATCGAGGTCCACGACTTCTAAGACGGGGACTTGGACTTTGACAGAACCGATGGGATTAGGGCGGTGAGATTTGTTTTCTGTTGGCGTGTGACCAAAGAACGCTAGGGATTCTGGCCCGCCGTTGTTTGGGAGAGATGATGAATGGCGTGTCAAGAATGGCGGGCAAAAAAGCTCTCGGCCTTTTTTGATGCCAGGTGAAGAAGTTTGGTAGCCCGTTGTATCAACAACAAGAACAACAGCAACAACAGTCGCAGTCGTACTGCAGCCGTGTGTCGTACTCGCTAGCCAGGGGCTCGGAGAGCTCCCCCCAGCTGGCGCGAGGGAATGAGTGAGACGCGGGCCAACACCCGCTAACTAACTCTGCCGGGTACCCTACACGAAATGATAACCAACCGGCCGTACGAGCGCGGTACGAACAGCACTACTAATACTGAGGAATAAAATTCTGACTATAGAGAGTTTGTTGCTCGGGTGTGGTTTCCCTGCCGATGATAGCGGCGGCGGCGCGGCGGTCATCCTGCAGACCTGCCAGCCGTATTTACCGTACACTTGTAGTACGAGACCTGTACTTCTTTGAACAAGTCGGGTGTCGGCTTCCTCGAAGCCGGAAAAAGGGCGGGCCCCCCCTGCATCCGTACAGGCCGGTAGCTAGCACGGCACGTGTGACAATTGATGGGTAGTGTCACTGCGGTGGGAGATGTGCTTTGTTGCAGCAGTACTGATGGTGTGGGAGCTAAGCTTGCACCGGCGGAATCGTCAGCACCGCCTGCGGGCTCCACGCGAATCGCATCCATCCCGGGTGCATGCCGCATGGACAGTGCGGCAGACCGCAAGTCGGAATGCCCGTGCGGGCAAATTGGTAACGCAAGCTGAGTGAAGTTCGGTGCTGTCTGTGATGTTTATCCCCGAAGCGCCAGCGGCCTCAGCAATCCGCCCCACAGCCGCGAGCTTCATCGCGGCACACCGCAAGTCTTCGGAGGCCCCGTGCATTGGCCAAAGTAAATGTACAAACAAGCAGCTTGTGTATTTCATATAGAAATGCAAGCAAATTTGTTGGCCTGCTGGTGGCATGTCGGATTGCTCATGCCGGCAATTGGTAACACAAGCTGGGTGTTCGAGTTATCATACGCCGTCATCTCAGAATTCCATTATGAGATACGCGGCAGCTTTCGGGATGAAATTTAGCGCGAGAGGCGTTGATGTGACTTTTGAGGTCGGTGAATGGAGGCAGCTAAACTTGTTTGTGCTCATACGGTCTTTGTTAGCTACATGCGAGATACCTTGCAGTAGAGAATGCTGTATAGTACCGATAACGCGTTTCAGCCGGGTGAAATATTATGTTTGATCCGTTACACACTCAAGGCATGGGAGTTCGAGTTGTCATACGCCGTCATCTAAGAATTCAAATATGAGATACGCGGTACCTTTCGGGATGAAATTTAGCGCGAGAGGCGTTGATGTGACTTTGGCCTCGGTCAATTGAGGCAGCCAAACTTGTTTGTGCTCATACGATTTTTGTTGGCTACATGCGAGATACCTTGCAATAGAGAATGCTGTATAGTACCTACAACGCGTTTCAGCCGGGCGAGATATTATGTTTGGTCCGTTACACACACACACACACACACACACGGACATGGGCAATCCTACAGGTCGGGGCCCCCCTGGGCGCTTCGCGCTGGGGCCCCGCCCAAAAATCTCCGAACGAGTGCGGTAGGAACCGCCGCGTGGAGATACGACGTTATGACCACGCACGCATAAACGTATATGTACATGAAGACGGTTGTGTGGTGTGTGTGTGTGTGTGTTTTACCCCTCCCTCCCTACATTTCCCCTTCGCTCTCTCCCTCCCTCCCTCCCGCCCCCCCTCCCTCCCGGCCCCCCTTCATCAATTAAAATCCAATCGTTTTCGAGCCATTCAGCTCCCTAGCGGTTCCGATGGGGGCTAGTGGCGGCGGCGGCTGGGCCAGATCCGCAGTCCCTGGAGTCTCTCAGTGTGG